CCATAATGATTTGTCCTTGGTTTGGTGATAATACGGTTTGGTAGCGGATATAATGGTCGTCGACGGTATGATTGGTACTGGTTTGGTAGTTGTTAGAATTGTAGCATTGGGAACGGACTGGGATCTGGTTCGAGGAGGGGAAGGTCTGGATACATGTCTCGACTTGGATGGAGACTGAGGGGTGGTTTGCTGGTCCAAAAACACACAGAAGGAAGAAAGGTTGGCGGATCCTGGATCACGTGGTGAAGATTCAGATGGTGTGGAAGGGGAAGACGAGTCTGAAAGTGAAAAGAGAAGGGGTGTGCCCTCTCTACGAGAGCGTTTACCTATGTCTGCTGGACTAGGGGTAGGTGAACTTAGGGCTCGTTTAGGGGTTTGGTTCGGCAGCGTGGTAGCTCTAGATGGTGCAGGTGTAGTGTCCATTTCAGTTGGTAGAGATATGGTTACTCTGGTTTACCTACAATGCTAGGTAAGTATGGTCTGTATTTGGGGTAAATATACAAAATCAGCACCTACAGGGTTAAAAAGATCAGCAAGTAAGGTAAGTATACCAGATCCACTATTAGAATAGGTAAGAAAGATATCCGTATATATAGTCAGTAAGAAAAAACCACAGAACAAAAACAAGGGTATGGTACACAAGAACAACTGGGGTAAGTATACAAGTTCAAACAACTTGAGGAAGTATATAAGATCAATACTAAGTTAGTATACAAGATCAGCAACTGGGGTAAGTAAGAGATATTCACAAGTATGGTATATATTTACATCTATGGTATATATGCATATCAATAACTAGGGTAGATATACAGAATCAGTAACTAGGATATTGGGGATGTCTCCTATGTACCCTGGATAGTGCTTGCATACTGTAGTTGTTGATCTTTGTTACTTACCCCTGCTACTGGTCCTGTATACCTATCCTAGATGTTTCCTATTTGCTGATCTCATACACTTACAGCAGTGGTGGATCTTGTATTCTTTATGGTGAGTATATAAGATCAGCAGGACAGCATCTAGGGCAAGTAAACAAGATCAGCAATTGGATTATTTATAGAAGATCAGCATCTAGGGCAAGTATACAAGATCAGCAATTAATGTATGTATACTTCAAGGTTACTAGTGGGTAAGTACTAGTAGGTATACAAGATCAACAGCGGAGTTAGTAAGAGATATTCACAAATGTGATATATATATATACATATATGGTTGAGGTTAGGTAGCAAAGACCAAAATTTTAAAATATCACTTATAAGGGCAACTAAGATATGGTTAAATAGCGAATCTATTTGATAGTCATATAAAATCATGTACTGTTTGGAATATATGTGCATTTTCAACTTCACTGCGGTGATTTGAACCATGCAATAGAGTTTTTCCATCTAGATGCTGATGTGGTAGTGATAGTAATGTATCTCTTCTCTGGGCCTGATATTTCGGACAGAATAGCATAAAATGTCTCAAGTCTTCAATGGGATGTCCACAGGTACAGGATGCGAAGTCACCAACGTGTCTTAAGAACTTGTGTTGAGGTCACCCATTCTATTTCGGAGTCTGCAGTGCACTATTTGGGCCGATCTTTCGCCAAGGAAATAATACGATGGTGGAGACGCAATGGATTTTATCAGTAGTTTGAATTCTTTTATACTACATAATGAAGATATGTTTTCGGGTAATGCGTTCCAATCACGGATAGCGGATGGTAAGAATGAATCAGAGTAGAGTTTAGACCTAGTAAAAAGTGTTCGTAGCTTGTGACCATGACGTGTATTGTAGTCATAAGAACATCCCATATGATCAACGTTCCGTAATGCTCTACCGATATACGCAAAATAATGTCGGATAAGCGGGAGTGTCGGAGTACTCAACGCATTCTACAGACGGTACCTTTCTAATACTAAGACAATAATAAAAAACAATTCAGTTGTATACGTTACTATTGATATTATGTCGGCAAACTTTTTTAAAAATTCTTCTTTACGTTTTAAAATGCTGCTTATTGTTGTTCGACGTAAACCAAATTTCATAGCTAAATATTACTGCGAAGAGCGCGGCACTTGTTCATAATATCCAATAATTTGCTGTTTCATATACAGAGATATCCACATCAGTACGGGCACGCTTCGAAGGACGAAAATTGTTTACTCAAGAATTTTGAAAAAAACGCGTAACAAAGAATGGCCAAGTTGCATATTTCTGTTCTATACGGTATAATGAATAATACGAGTACCAATGCCATTTGATCTAAAAGCAATGACCTTGATCTTGAAGCGAAGTCATTGGCGGTGATCAATCAGCAGAATTTAGTTCACCGATCTTTTGTTTTTATGTGATTTGATCCGGAATAAGATGAGTAGATGTCGGATTATACAGTCAATCTGTTACCGTTTTAACCAAATGTCTTGTTACCGTTTTAACCTAAATATCTTAATAACGTTTTGACAGATCTGTTACCGTTTTGACTATTAAATTTTTTTACCGTTTTGACAGGTTACCGTTTTAACAGGTGCAATATAACCTCACATGTAATGCATGTAGGATCGTTCCAACTTTTATGAGACACGGTGTGATTACGAGTTGACGGGAAAAGAACTGTTTGATTCATTGCCTTTGGTTGTGATTATATGTGTCAAAATGTGTTCATTAACACAATATTGATTTTGATGAAACTTACTATGATCCCGAACGATCTGAATATGACGATATTTAAACAAACAGTTTTCGAAAAATTGTCAAATACCTTGACTTAGTAAAAGACACCTCAAAACGGTTTTGGAGTTATTGCCCTTAACGTTCGACAACTTTTTTTTTATGGAATTTGATTTGATCATAATAATAATGAAAAAATCTTTAAAAACAATGGCGAAAAATTTGGTCTAAGGCCTCTTTACAAATTTGCCCTGTAAAATAAGATAACACAACATAATAAATAACATAATGGTATGGACATAATTTGTGAGACCAATTTATTATCTATTTTAAGAAAATTGAATTCATGACAAGAGAAAACACTTCCTTGTAACAGTATGTCAGTAAACAGCTAAATACATGGTTAGTTCTCAGATTCCATTTCTTCTGATTTAACCAATCATAAGTATAATGAAATAAGAAACCGAAACTAAAAAAAAAACCCACAAAAACATTGAATAACTAGGCAATTATTGGACCACCTTACACAAACGTCAAATAAAGCAATGATATGGTTCTTACCAATATTACAATGGGGTCCTTGCCATCCATTAAGACACCCACTAGGACAAACTCCATCATCTGAGCATCCAACATTGTGTAAACAATAGCAGAAATTCGAACAATCTGATCCATATGTACCAACATTACATTCTGTAATAAAAGAACTAACTTGAATAAAAACCATAATGTTATCAAACATCGCCATCCTCAAGATTACAGCATAACTATCAAACAAACAAAAAATCACGAATTAATTGCACATAGATAAACTGTTCGTCGGTGTCAATCAGTAAACTAGCGTATGTTTTTTGTTTCTTTTTACCAGTAATTCTTTAAAACTTACGTTTTTGACATGAAGGTCCAGAATATTTCTCTGAACAACCATTAATACAACTTCCAGTTATTTTCTCACACTGTTCATCATTTACACAGTGGCAGTCATAGAAATCATCTACACCGAAGTAAGCACCTGCAAGGACAAAGTTTAAACTAATATGAGTAGGGTCACTTTAGATGGTGATGGGTTTTGTAAACTGTGTTTAATTTACTGCTAATGATTGTGACGACAATCTTGCAATTGAGCTCAGTTCATTTAGATATAACTATATCTAAATTGTATTAAGTTGTTCTACCGGACACCAGCAAAACTATCATTGCAACTTGGTTTAATTGACATAATGTCGATTTATTTATAGTTCCCGTAAACCGCCAGTGTGGTGTTTATTTCATGGATTATATTTTTATATTGGTTTCCCGTAATTTGTGCGTGTGGGTATTTTCCAATCAATCTTAGAACATTTAACGATACTGAATTTAATTTCCTTTACTTCTTCTTCATTTACTGATATTTTTTTTTGATATCGAAATGTCAATTTTTTTTTTTTTTCGATTTTAACACACCTTCCTGAGCTTAGACTACAATAGTTGCAGCAACCATTCAACATTCACGAACCTTAGATATAGGCGACGATGTGCATAAATATATTTTGGATCTTTTTTGCAAAACCGGAANG